ACAGGACACCTCACTCAAACTAGCCAAAGTGGTATTGCGCACCACAGCATGTCATGCCCAGTATATAAACTAGGGGGAGTTAGCTGGAAGGCCAGATCACAGTTTGGGTCAGGTTGGGTATTGTTGGCAGGTGGTGAGGAATTTTACTGTGCGCCACTTGTGTTTACTGGCTTTTTTTCCCTTTCTCGTTCTAGTTTTATATTCTCTCCTCTTGCTATTTCCCTTATCATCATTATTATTGGTGGTAGTAGTAGTAGTCTTGTATTATACTTTACTTATTGGATTGTTCTTATCTCAACCCATGAGATTTACATTCTTTTGATTCTCCTCCCCATCTCTCTGAAAGCGGAGAGGAAACAGTTGGGAGAGTGAGCGAGTGGATGCATGGTTCTGAGTTTACCACCTGGGCTTAAACCACAACAATAAGGAATTCAGCTGACTGAAAATGGGATGGCTTATATGAAGCAGCAGTTGTATTAATAAGGAAATTTTTGTTCTGTCCTGATCTCTTTAATTTTAAATTATTGTTCTCATAATCACAAGTAATACAAATACTCCTGCTCACCATGGGTTGAAGAAAAAAGTACAGTTTCTTAGGAATGGAGAATTCGGTTAGCTTGATTAAAACAAAATCAGACACAGACAACCACCAAATGCAGTTTCCACGGTTTCTGGATCCTGTTTGCAACATACTTCATATCAGCTGAATTTTTGACATCTTACTTTTCCTACTACATCTGTTTGTAAGGTGGGACATGACAACTTGAGCACAGGTTAAACACATTTATACGGCAAAGTCTATTTACCATCATTGACAGAGGGAACTAGAGACAAAAGAATCGTGCCTTCAGGTTGTTTGAGATACACTGGCTTCAACAGGTGCTTCTGAGAAGAGACATTGCTTCAGATAGTCATTTACTTAGAACTTGAACAAAAGGGTAGATCTAGCCATGAAAAGAAAACGGAGGTAAATTGACTTGGCTTTCAAGGAGAGCAGAATTTTTATTCTTATTTGGTTTAGGATATTACCATGTATTTAGAGAATATTTTCTTATATGGTGAACTTTCATAAGGGAAATAAATCCACAAACATAAGGATGTATGTTTCTGACACATAAATAAGAGTAATATTTTTAGTAAAAGAGAAAAAAAAAGACTAAGATGTACATTGAAACTGTGTGGAATACTGCTGTACTTAAAAATAGTGCAACTCAATAAGCACAAAACATGCCCTTCTTTAATACATGCTTAGGACAACATTTTTATTGAGCTGTATAAAACTGTTAGGAAATCATCTATTGATGGGGAGGGGGAGTTATTTCTCTTAACAATGTAACTAAACTTTATTCTATAATAATTATTTAATCCACTCTTGTTTATTGAGTTATAAAGTTATGTTTGATTTCTGTTGCTTCTTCTACTGCTGGAGTACTACGCATGTTACATTCACTACGGTTAATTAATCTTTTTTGTAACCCATTGCAAGACCCCAGTATTTCATAAATGTAGGACTTTTCCAACACCCCTTTCTTTGGCATTTCTCCTTTTGTCTAAGATTTTATTTTCTTCCTTTTTTCCTTAAATGACAGATGATAAGTGTTCTCAAGTTGTAAGTGGTGCATAACATAAAATGTGAGTTTACAGTTGTAGAGATAATGAATAAACAAAAACACTGTAAAAAGGAAAGCTATTATTTTGTCACTCAGAGAATGCTTTATTGCCTATATCACTACTAATGTCATAAATAAATGTCATATTTTAAAAATGCTTAGTCCTATTTTCAAGATGAATGCAACTGCAAAAAACCTAATATTACCTATAAAACTTGAGTGTTTTAGCTAAGCTATTCATCTAAGTTCCCTCTATAAACAATAGAAAAAAATATTGATTTACAGAGTATGTGTCTACCTATTTCTACTAATTGCTGAGAAACTCTAGATGACAAAGCTGGAGTAAAATAATCTCAGCTTGGAAGTCTAAAACTCACTGAAAATAGACTTATTTTTCAATTAAAGTGTTTGACATTGTTTTAAAAATATGCTAAATTTATGAATGCCTTTTAGCATTAAGGTAGCTCAAATAAGATATGAAAGGATACCAGAAATGTTTCTCTCATTAAATATATACACATATGTACACACAAGGGACAAATGAATATGTATCAATCCTAACTATTCAATGATTCAATGATTCTATGTATAGATACATAAGGATGCCTACCTATTGCACTTCAGGTGTTTAGGGAATTTCACCAAGGCTTATTTTAATGTACTAAGTCTGTATAATTCTAAAAAATGAGAGTGATGTCTATGTTTAATGATCCTTGAAAGAATCTCTATGTTTGAGTTAGACTGGGGAAAAGAAGATGTGATTATGTTTTTTACCTGGTCTGGGGAAGGGGGTGTAGGGGGTGTGGGATGTAGAATGAAAGATTAAAAGGCTTAGTAAAACTATACCTCTGCAAATTCTTCCAGTTTGTAACTTACACATTGTTAAAACGCCTACCCACATGTTTGATATTTGTCAGAAGAAAAAAAAAAAAATAAAGAAAAGCCTTGGGACAGGAAAATTAGACACTTGTTTTCTCTCTCTTCTTACAGAGAAGAAGAATCTGAAAAATAATTCATAAATCCTTCTCTTAACTCCAATTCTCCATTTGTATTGATCTTCCTTGCCCCTAGGTCTTTAGTAGTGAGCAAACAACAGACTCTTGACTTCCTGTCTCTTTCCTACTACGAGCTTGTTCTGAATCCCTGATGGACTCAGACCTCCTATTGACTTCAGACAGGAAATCTTATAAATGACTGCACAGCTATCCCCTAAAAGAGCATCTGCTGGGTGACTCTCTGCTGCCCCAATATCCTGTCTAACTACATGTCTTAGAACCTCCTTCTACTGTCTAACAAGTACAGTGTCTACAAAAATAAAAAATAACATTGTTCATAACCATTCTTATGAATGGAATATTGCCCTCTATCATAGATTACCCTTCAAAACACATTTTTATAGAGCAATCCCAAGTCTTTGCAACATGTAAAGTCATTTGTGCATGTAGAACAGTCATAGAATCACAGAATCATACAATGGTTAGGGTTGGAAGGGACCTTCAAGATCATGTAGTTCCAAACCCCTGCAGGGACCTGCCACAGGCAGGGATAATCCCTTTAATGTCTCTTGATCCCTACATTGCCTCATTTTTGATAATGAATATCCATCTATGAGTTGAGAGTCCTGCTTCCAGGCTTGTCAATGCATTCAAAACAGAAACCTGGGTCTGCCTTTTTCCGTTATTTAGAAATTTTCTTTAAGAGAAATTGAGAGTTTACAGTTATGGTTACCTTTTTCATATATGGGTACTTATGAGGTTATGCGTTAGAAATTCCAGCATATGCTGCTTAGAAATAAATATACATCAGCAACCTCAGCCTGAAGTTAGGGTACACAAATAGGTCAGCCAAGAGTCTGGTGTCCTGGTTTCAGCTGTAACAGCTATTTTGCTCCTTCTTAGTCGCTAGTGCAGTGCTGTGTTTTGGCTTTAGTCTGAGAATAATGCTGATAACACACTGATATTTTAGTTGTTGATAAGTAACGTTTACCTCAATCAAGGACTTTTCAGTCTCTTATGCTGTGCCAGTAAGGAGGGACACAAGAAGCCAGGAGAGAGAAGGAACAGGACACCTGACTCAAACTAGCCAAAAGGGAATTGCATACCACAGAATGTCATGCCCAGTATATAAACTGGGGGGAGTTAGCTGGAAGGGCAGATCACTGTTTGGGTTGGAATGGGTATTGTTTGGTGGGTGGTGAGCAATTGCATTGTGTATCACTTATGCTTATTGTGTTTTTTTTTCTTTCCCCTTTTGGTTTATATTCTCTCCCCTTTTTATTTCCCTTAATAGTAGTAGTAGCAGTAGCATTATACTGTACTTCAGTTATTAAACTGTTCTTATCTCGACCCATGGGGTTTGCATTCTTTCAATACTCCTACCCTTCCCATCCAGAAGGGGAGAAAGGGGAAGGGGATAGAAGGGTTGAGTGAATGGCTGTGTGGTGCTGAGTTACCAACTGCACTTAAACTATGACATCTGGTACACTGACTCTGTCACTGACCAGTGGTCAAAAAGCTACGAAAAATCAGGGCATACATTGATGGATATTAGTGTCTTCCATTTGTGAATTCTGCACATATTTTGTCCAGTTACACTGGACTAGCATCCTTTTTATTCCTGCCTCTGGTTCTGAAATTCTAAGCCATCTACTTCTTGATATGTAAATCTCTGCCAAAGAATGCTTTATTGTTGGTAATCATTACCCATACTTGACCTGGAAGTCCTGCTAATACATCCAGGCTTGCTAATACATCCAGTTTCCCCCTTGATTTTCAGATTAAGGGTCTTTCCAAGGAGTGACTATTTCCTTTTTGGGACTCTACCAATTGTTCGATCTCAGCTTACTAGAAGAGTAATTGATAAACAAATATTATGAGATTTTTCATGAGAAAAGGTTTTCCTATATTGTCATTTCAGGTTTGTTTTTAATTTATTGATCCAAACAGACCCTCTTGTAAAACAGCTAACTTGTAAAATAGCTAACTTATGCTATACAATCAATATAGTCACTTAGCAAAAGACTAGTCCTTGCCACAGATCATGAAAAAGTGTCTTACAGCATCAGCTCTCTAATCAAACAGCAGGCTACTGGACAGCAAAACTAAACCAGACGAGATCAGGTGGGCTTAAAGCATTTTCAGCCTATTTTATCTGTAAGACTTTCAAAGTAAGATGAGGAATTAAAACATGACGTAAAACTGAAGAAACAGGCACATTAAAAAGTTTAGTTGAAGGCATATTTTTGCAGAAAAAGTACTTTGTACTTTCTTTTTGTCCTTCTTTTCAGAAGTTTTACAGCCTCTCTTCAGTAGTAGAGATGACAGCCAGAGGATATAAACTAATACATTGTTGTGGTTTAAACCCAGTCAGGTAACTCGTTCACTCACTCCCCCCACTTCTTTTCCTCCCGACACCACAAGGGGTGGGAACGGTCATCGATGGCGAGCGGCTCCTGCACAAGCAGCGCCGCCTGCCCGCCTCGTGCTCAGGAGACAGCACCTCGCTCCTCCTCGTGGTTTGTGACGCCGTTCAGGTGCGATCACTCTCTAGAGAAAGCCATTTTGCTGTTTCTGTCACACTCCATTTTAAGTCAAAGATTTCTCAAAAGTAATGTCTTTTACCTAGGCAAACAGATTATTTGCCAATATAGAATAAGGATTACCCAATTGAGGTTTTCCGTAGAAGTCCCTGATCACACAAATTCTTCGTGTGATGAGATCATAGACAGCCATTTTTGCCCTGTCATCTTTATATATTTTATTCCTTCAAATTCACAATCATTTAAAAATACTTGAAGCAAGAGGGAAGTTAAACAAATCACAGCAATGTTTATGGAAAGTTTTCATAGCCTGGCTGTGAAAAGTCTTATACAATGAGACCATCAGTTTTGGTGTCTCTTTTTAGTAACTGTTGAGAGCAGATTACTTAGCAGGTAATCACAACTTCCTTCAAGGTGGATTGAAGCTTTCGGTTTCAGGCTCAAGAAAGTGGGCTTGAATGGTGAAAAAAATTGAAAAAAAATTAGATTAGTGGAGCACATGTCAAAAGATGAACACATCAGGTAAAGGGGTAATCAGTAAAAACATAGTATTAGCTTTCTTATGATATTTATGGTTAGATATTTTCAGTGCAAAGATATGATCTAAAAAATATATTTCTATGTTTTTTCCTGATCTATTCAGATATGAAAATTATTTTTAGATTATTTTCAACATTTCTTGTATTTATTGGTTCCGTGAAAATAAATTAAACTATTTATTAAAAAAAACCCACACAAATGCATACTTTAAGAAATCAAAATATTTGATTTCTTTCTGCACAGGAAATGTGTAGAAGATGTGGGTATAGGTTTATAGGATCTCCATCAAAAAGAAGAATCAAAAAGATGGGGAAAGTGGTTATATTACTTATAAAACTCTGTTGACTGAGAAAATATATTCCAAAATGATAGGCTAACTTCAAATTTTCTTAATATTTTTATTTCAGATAAAGACCTGACTAAGACAATCCCTTGCCTTAGGGAAAATAAACACTTGAGTATGTCATATTGTGATTTACTGTCAGGCAAAACAAACTTGCCATGTGCCTGCTCGCCCCTGTGCCAATGTCCTTATAAACCATGATTTGACTTGCTTCCAGAAGAAGCATTTACTATTTGAACTTCTTTTAAACCTCTGTTCAGACTTCTTTTCTTTCCTTATCTTCTGGGAAGAGCATCCATCTCATGTTGCTGCTTAAACCTTGGGAAAACTAAATCCTTTGTTCTTCAGGACCTTGATCACCAATTAAAGCTAGTACTGGCAGCTCAAGATATAGTGCAATGACTGTGAGTCAAATTAAAATATAGGACCCTATTAGTGTCTAATTGTCTTTACATCATCATAGTCATGGACTACTTCCACATTCACACCTCCATACCATTAAAGCAATGGCCACAGAGAATTTGGTAAGAAAGATTCCATTTACATTTTATTTCATATATCTTCTGAAATATATCAATATGGAGATAAATATTTCTCTTTATTTTCTGTACTTTTCCTCTCAAGTTATCATGCATTAGGGGCTTCAATGTTATTCCCTTCACATATACATTCATAGACTAACAGTTTACAGAGATTTCCACATTACATTATCATACAGCAAAGAGCAAAGGATACAGCCCCTCTCTGAATAGGAGATTGTATGTAGCCATGACCATGGCATACAGTACAGACTGGTCCAGAAAGGTGAACATGAAAAGACCCTTCCAGCAGTTTTGGTAAGTGCAACTATGAGCAACAACAAGCCTTTGAGCAAATTAAATGCGAGATATAGTTCATGCAGTAGCCCTTGGACCTGTCTGGACCGGGCTAGATGTAAAAAATGACTGCTACTGCTGAACCCAGGACACATGCCTAAAGTAATTTTGAAACTATAAAAATAAGGTAATGTAAGTTTGTGGAAAACCACTAAAATGAAAGGATATAACAGATTTGTTACTGACATCATCACTATACTACTCTAGTTTTAGGCTAGGATCAGCACAGCGGCGTTTCAAGCTTTTTCCTCCAACACCAGATGCACAGAGACAAAAGTGGTGCTGTAGTATAAGGCCAGCAGTCAGTTTAAGACTTCCTGCTTCTTAACTTTTTCACTCTTTCCACTTTTTTGGAATCTCCTCGACATTGTCTGGTTTTTCTCTACAGGTGGCTTGGTAACATGGCACGTGCATCTAAAGCATGTTATCTGGAATTAATCTGTTGCTCTACAGTACAAGTAAGTGTTATGTGATGCACTTCACTGGTTTTATGATGTTCCTCCCTGCAGGCTACTCTGAAATGGTAGATTAACTTGATATTTCCAAAAGGCAGCTCAGTGCAGGACACCACTTTCTAAGAGATTCTGCCATGGTACTCATTGGTCATGCTGAGAAAAATTGATCTCAGTTTATACACTGACCTTTTGCTCTTCCTTAGTCTGAAAGAAGGAAAAATCCACAAGCTATATATTATTAGCTTTAAAAAAAAAAACAAAAACAAAGCACTAGCTAATAAGAGGGTGAAATAAAAACATTATCTTTCTGAATTACACTCAAAGATGTAAAAGGAGAAAATAGAAGGTGAGGAATATAATTCTGTAGCCAGCACTTACTTATGCATACAAATAGTTTTGCACTGCATTTAAAGATACTTTCACAGATTTACAGGTACGCACATCAGAAGAAAAATTGAGTTATAGCATTATAACACAATTTTAGCTACATTTGAGCACAAAATGCTTTTTTCTTAAACTGTGTGGAAAAAAAGCATATTCACACATAAACTGACACATTCTTTTTTTTTTTTTTCCTGTGGTAATGCCTAGAAGCTTTGTTCAGAATGCCATTTAACAAACTTCTTGTGCACGCACACAAGCTTGTATTATAAATGTTAATGTTCTAAACACTAATGTGATTGCCTTTATATGTCACCTTTGTGTCTATGGACTTCACGAAAGCAAGAAAAGGATAAGAGAGTGAAAAGCATAGAAATTTTTAAATGACCTGTCTTCCCATTCATTCTACTCATATGTATATACTACTTTTGGTAAGAATGAAGATATGCAATTTGCAGAGTTTTTTTACACATGTATACACACCTATATGTCTTCTGATGCTTCTATAAAACTCTGTTAGACAATGTCCTGGGTTCAGCAGTAGCAGTCAATTTTTCTCCTTCTTGGTAGCTGGTGCAGCACTGTGTTTTGACTTCCAGCCTGGGAACAGTGCTGGTGATACCGATGTTTTCGGTTGTTGCTAAGTGATGTTTACCCTGACCAAGGACTTTGTGAGGCTCATGCTCTGCCAGGGAGGAGGGAAAGCCGGGAGGAAGCAGAGACAGGACACCTGACCCAAGCTAGCCAAAGAGGTATTCCATACCACAGCACGTCATACCTGGGGGGGGGTAACTGGGAGTTACCCAGAAGGACACGGGCTTCTGGGTCGGACTCGTTTTCTGGCCGGTGGTATTGCATTATCTTCCCTTGTTATTTTCTCTTATCATTGTTGTTGTTGGTAGTAGTGGTGGTGATTTGTGTTGTACATTGGTTGCTGGACTGTTCTTGTCTCAGCCCGTGGGAGTTGCACCCTTTCGATCCTCCTCCCCATCCCTCCGGGAGTGGAGAAGGGGAGAGCCCCAGGGGAGGGGGCCTCTACTGCTTCCAGCCCGGTACCAGTCACTGGGAGTGAGTGAACAAGCTGGCTAGGGTTTAAACCACAACAGTTCTTTTTGGGTACAACAAAACGAGAACCAGATATATAGTGATATATACATGTAGTAACATATAAATGTGGTAAAATAGTGGTAAAAACATGTTATAAATTATAGTATATAAATTGCTATGTATTTCTCTAATAGTATCTGATGTAGACAAATGTTAGTATTTTTACTTTAAAAACAGAACAGGAAGTTGAGTGATTAAATGCCATGTTCAAGATGAAACAGTGAGTTTTCCAAGAAAGTGGGAATGTAAAGACTCAAGCTAAAGTCCTAATCACTGAACTGCCTTTTTCTTTCTTTACTTCAGGGTACAGATAAACAAATTACTCACTTTTCCACTGTTGTGTTTTCTCCTTTTTCTGTCTTGATAACCAGTTTCAGTTGATCAACTGTCTCTGCCACTGAGAAATGTAAGAAAAGGTGTCCAGCAGACAATGACTAACACCATCCATACAAAAAAGGCCTACATGAGCTGCTCTTAAAATCTAATTAAATAATTAAAAAAAAAGAAAAAATCACTGCCACAGCAATAACTTTGTATACCAATTTGGGAAACCTTTAAAATATACACTGGGAACCAGAAAACTTGGTTTAAACTAACATGAAAAAAAAAACCAAACCCTACAGCAGAATGTGTACAAACCCATGAACTGGAAGAGGCCTGAAAAAGCAGGAGTTAGTGCCTTTAGTTTAGGTTCGTATCATCCCTTTGTAAGCTATCGTGAAAACATCCTCATTCAAACATTCCATCTTTCTTAGTAGCATCTCCAGCTTCAGGAACATGTGCATTTCATTTTTTTGGCTTCAGTTTCTGAAGCTGCTGTTTCCTAACCTAAAACTTCTTAATTCCCCCAAAGGTAGAACAAACTACACACTGTAAATGAAATAAATCTGACTTTCCTGGGGAAGGCATGGGGAGGGGTGTCAATTTTGTGGGAAAAATGCAATATCCTGTCTAAAAGTCAAAATGATGATTATTTGGCTGCCTGTCCCTAAGTTATACTCCACTATCAACTGTGAAATTGTAAAAAACAAACAAACAAGCAAACAAAACCTTCTCAGGGAAACTGCTGTGAAGACTTAAACATAAATAGTTTTTCTTTCCTATAAAGGAATTCCCTCAAAGAAATTCTTCCCTGACTCAAATAAATTTGGAATAGGCAAAAAGAAAAAAAAGTAAAAAAAAAAGTCTCTCAGTTTAGAAATCAGGAAGGTTTCAATACTATGAACAAATTTTCTGTAAACAAAAGACAATGGGCAAGGTGGGCTACAGCAGCAAGCCAAGCTATGCAGTAATATATTCTACAACATTAAGAAGAAAACTGCTTTAGCTTGTGTATGCAGGTCCGATTCAAAATTAATTGTAAGCTGAGTCAGTGCT